GAATGGTGCCCAACCACTTGTGGACGGTCTCGGGGGATTGAACGCCGACCTGCACGAAGCGAGACCGTCGCTCTATCGTCCAGTCCACGAAAGACAGCGTTAAAATATATTTTGTAATATAAATGTGTGGTTATGTGGGCGAGAGAGGGTGTGGCATAGGTTTTTTTTAGTTTATTATCTACCAACATATACACATTTTCTCCTGACCTCCATAGGCAGGAGGTCAGGGTCTATGCCCCCTGTTACCTAGCAGTAAAATAGGTACCTGGGTGTTAGTCAGCTGTCACGGGCTGCTTCCTGGGGGTGGAGGCCTGGTCGAGGGCCGGGCCGCGGGTACACTAAAGCCCCGAAATCATCTCAAGATAACCTCAAGGCAGTGTTGAAGAGCTGTTAGAGAACCTATTGTGCAGTAGACCAGACCACACACTAGATAGTGAAGGGACGACGACGTTTCGGTCCGTCCTGGACCACAATCGACTCGAGAATGGTCCAGGACGGACCGAAACGTCGTCGTCCCTTCACCTTCTAGTGTGTGATTTGCTCAATATATTTCAGCCACGTTAATGTGACTCCTCGCCAACGATTGATTTGATTGATGAAGATTAAGCCACCCAAAAGGTGGCACGGGCATGAATAGCCCGTAAGTGGTGGCCCTTTTGAGCCATTACCAGTATCAATAGATGATACTGGAGATCTGTGGAGGTGCGACTGCACCCTGCGTGACAGGAGATGTCTCCCGTGACTGCTAACAGATGATTGATAAAGATTAAGCCACCCAAAAGGTGGCACGGGCATGAATAGCTCGTAAGTGGTGGCCCTTTTGAGCCATTACCAGTATCAAGAGCTGATACTGGAGATCTGTGGAGGTGCGACTGCACCCTGCGTGACGGGAGATGTCTCCCGTGGAAATGAAATTGATTGATTGATTGATGAAGATTAAGCCACCCAAGAGGTGGCACGGGCATGAATAGCCCGTAAGTGGTGGCCTCGCCTGCATATTGTGCAGGAGGTTATTGGGCACACAACCCACCTTACCTTGAGGTTACCTTGAGGTGCTTCCGGGGCTTAGCGTCCCCGCGGCCCGGTCGTCGACCAGGCCTCCTGGTTGCCGGACTGATCAACCAGGCTGTTGGAGGCGGCTGCTCGCAGGTGGGTGGAGGTGGTGTAGCCACCAGCTGGTGGGTGTCTCCTGGTCCACTACCACCTGCACCAGATGGCTTAAGCTGGCCTCTCCCATGATTTGTGGTGACAGGAAGCATGTGTGTGTGTGTGTGTGTGTGTGTGTGTGTGTGTGTGTGTGTGTGTGTGTGTGTACTCACCTAGTTGTACTTACCTAGTTGTGCTTGCGGGGTTTGAGCTCTGGCTCTTTGGTCCCGCCTCTCAACTGTCAATCAACTGGTGTACAGGTTCCTGAGCCTACTGGGCTCTTATCATATCTACACTTGAAATTGTGTATGGAGTCAGCCTCCACCACATCACTGCCTAATGCATTCCATTTGTCAACCACTCTGACACTAAAAAAGTTCTTTCTAATATCTCTGTGGCTCATTTGGGCATTCAGTTTCCACCTGTGTCCCCTAGTGCGTGTGCCCCTTGTGTTAAACAGCCTGTCTTTATCAACCCTGTCGATTCCCTTGAGGATCTTGAATGTGGTGATCATGTCCCCCCTAACTCTTCTGTCTTCCAACGAAGTGAGGTTTAATTCCCGTAGTCTCTCCTCGTAGCTCATACCTCTCAGCTCGGGTGTGTGTGTGTGTGTGTGTGTGTGTGTGTGTGTGTGTGTGTGTGTGTGTGTGTGTGTGTGTGTGTGTGTGTGTGTGTGTGTGTGTGTGTGTGTGTGTGTGTGTGTACTCACCTAGTTGTACTTACCTAGTTGTGCTTGCGGGGTTTGAGCTCTGGCTCTTTGGTCCCGCCTCTCAACTGTCAATCAACAGGTGTACAGGTTCCTGAGCCTACTGGGCTCTATCATATCTACACTTGAAACTGTGTATGGAGTCAGCCTCCATCACTGCCTAATGCATTCCATTTTGTGTGTGTGTGTGTGTGTGTGTGTGTGTGTGTGTGTGTGTGTGTGTGTGTGTGTGTGTGTGTGTGTGTGTGTGTGTGTGTGTGTGTGTGTGTGTGTGCGTGCTCTATGCTTCAGCCTTGAATCTAAATTAGTCCTCCCAAGATGGAACTGCCAACCCTCTGCAGAATGCAACCCACTATAGTTGCCCAAGTCCCGGATACCTATTTACTGGTGGGTGGAAACAGGATATACAGGAAAAGAAGCTTGCCCCCCCTTCATTTCTGTCCCGGCCGGGATTGAACCCGGGATCCCCGAGTGTGAGCCGAGAACGAAGCCCACTGTACTACACCCGTCTCCTTGGCCCTTATGTCTGGCGCGCAATATCAACAATATCAATATCACTCTCTCTAGACATTAATGTCTTGACACTGTTTTGCAGTGTCAAGTCTCCGTGGTGTAGTGGTAAGACACTCGCCTGGCGTTCCGCGAGCGCTATGTCATGGGTTCGTATCCTGGCCGGGGAGGATTTACTGGGCGCAATTCCTTAACTGTAGCCCCTGTTTTACACAAGTCGAGCCTGGCCTCGGGCCGGGCTTGGGGAGTAGAAGAACTCCCAGAACCTCATCAACCTCATCAACCAGGCAGACTAGGAGTCACAATAACGGGGCTGAAGTATGTTGACCAGACCACACACTTGAAGGTGAAGGGACGACGACGTTTCAGTCCGTCCTGGACCAGTCGATTGTGAGAATGGTCCAGGACGGACCGAAACATCGTCGTCCCTTCACCTTCTAGTGTGTGGTCTGGTCGGCTTAATCTTCATCAATCAATGAGTGACAATGTCAAATTCGAGGAGTGGCGTTCCAACACTCACTCAAGACGCTACAGCCTCGCTACAGAGCAGACAGCTGAGATAACCTTATACCAGTTCTGTACCGGAGGCCTCGTCTCATCTGTCACCACAGGTTACCTTGAGGTTACCTTGAGGTGCTTCCGGGGCTTAGCGTCCCCGCGGTCCGGTCGTTACATTTCCAAACATCCGACTGCTGTAACCATTATAATATTAAATAAACATCAACAAGCACTATACTCTTTGAATATCGCCCAAAATCTGTCTGTTAGATTAAGGACCTCTGCCCGAAACGCTGCGCGTACTAGTGGCTTTACAAGATTGTAAATACTATGATATGTATTCTCACAAACCCAATGTACCTTCTTGTATATAAATAAATAAATAAAACCGTATACGTTACACACTGAAAAGGCGAGAGTTCAAGTATGTTTATTGAGACAAGAAAGAAATACATCTCAAAGGGATAGAGTAGCTTAGGGTATTTCTACCCACCTTGAAAAAATGCGAGAGCCTCTGGCGGAACATGGCGCCCGTACCCAGGGTGGCCCCGGTGGCCGGCGGTTCCGGGGACATGTGAAAACACACACTCGCCCGACGCAGATTTGATGAGGACAAAGGTAACTTTGTCCTTTATAGCGGCGTTACCTTAGGAGGAAGACACTCAGTAGGCGAGGAAACTTGTTTTGTGTCCTGCTGTGGAGCAGAGTCCTCAAGTTCACTCTATTAACTGCCCTTTATCCGTCGGTGACCGCCTGTCAATCTCATTGACTTGAGAATGGTCCAGGACGGACTGAAACGTCGTCGTCCCTTCACCTTCTAGTGTGTGGTCTGGTCAACATATCTCTTTGATTTCCCCAGAGTCAAACTAAATGGACTCCTTGTTCAACCTTGACGACGAGCAGACTTGTGGACGTCCTGTCGCCTGGGAGCCGCCGGATCGCGTTCTGTTTTCGCGATTTTGGATTTGATACTGCCATTTGGCATCCCTATTTAACGGTCCGGGTTGTACGACGCCTGGCGCACAAACCCTGTGCCTTGGGTCACAATCTTAACACAATCCCGTGTTAACCTTAACACAATCCCGTGACCCTATGCCTTGGGTCACAGGATTGTTGATAGATTTTGAACGTTTTCTGGCTGGTTTTCCCGGCGGGGTGACGGTGTTCGGCGCCGGATTGGCTGAGAGATGCCGGGAGTTGGAGGGCTCCTTGTGGGCCCTCAGTTGTGGTGGGCTCCTGGTGGGCCCTCAGCCGTGGTGGGCTCCTAGTGGGCCCTCAGCCGTGGTGGGCTCCTAGTGGGCCCTCAGCCGTGGTGGGCTCCTAGTGGGCCCTCAGCCGTGGTGGGCTCCTAGTGGGCTCTCAGCCGTGGTGGGCAGCTGGCTTCTGCTCTGCCGGGGGGCACTGAATGACTTTTGCGTCTTAGCTGGGGGCCGAGTTTTTGGTTTTGCTCCCCAGTGTTCTCTGTGTGGACCGAGCCGGTGCTTGTCAGCCTGAGGGACTCCTGGAGCTCCCCAATCATCTGACTGGGCGTTTCTTTGACGCGAGGCATGTTGGTGTCTGGTGATACGCGACATTAGGTTTTGCGATTAACACTTTACGGCAGCCCGTCCTCCAAACAAAGACCCAACAGTGATTCCATGCTCCTGCCAAACCCCTTAGCTGTTTATGAATGAAAAGCGGTTTACACACGACTCAACTGATGACGTTCGAACACTTCCGGAACAAGTGCTTCACTGACGACTGGTGTTCGAACCACAACGCTGTAAATGCTTCACCCACGTACTACAAATACAAATAATCGCCAACAGAACCTAACCCTAACCTATGCCTATATGTGTACAATATGCTAATATATTATAATATTAATTTATATTTGAGAAAATTCCCATATTGAATGAACAGCATGTAAAAATTTATGTCCGAAACGCTAGGCATGTTAATGGCTTTACAAGAATGTAAAAAACTATCAATTCCATTCACCATGGGCTGTACGGGTCTTTTAAAAATGCCAATATTATGTAATGTCACACACCCATTATACCTTCTTGTGAATAATTTATTGAGTATTATTATTATTAAGCGATTGCCCCTGTGCTGTAGCTGCCCCTAACCCCACAACAACAACAATGTCTCCCCTCAGAGCATGACCATCCCCGTCAACATCAGAGTGACAGACGATAACGACAACGCTCCCGTCTTCCTCAACAGCCCCTACTATGTCAATGTGTCAGAGGTGAGTGTCAAGTTGGGTCACTGTGGCCTGATGTGTCAGAGGTGAGTGTCAAGTTGGGTCACTGTGGCCTGATGTGTCAGAGGTGAGTGTCAAGTTGGGTCACTGTGGCCTGTTGTGTCAGAGGTGAGTGCCAAGTTGGGTCACTGTGGCCTGTTGTGTCAGAGGTGAGTGTCAAGTTGGGTCACTGTGGCCTGTTGTGTCAGAGGTGAGTGTCAAGTTGGGTCACTGTGGCCTGTTGTGTCACAGGTGAGTGTCAAGTTGGGTCACTGTGGCCTGTTGTGTCAGAGGTGAGTGCCAAGTTGGGTCACTGTGGCCTGATGTGTCAGAGGTGAGTGTCAAGTTGGGTCACTGTGGCCTGTTGTGTCAGAGGTGAGTGTCAAGTTGGGTCACTGTGGCCTGTTGTGTCACAGGTGAGTGTCAAGTTGGGTCACTGTGGCCTGTTGTGTCAGAGGTGAGTGTCAAGTTGGGTCACTGTGACCTGTTGTGTCAGAGGTGAGTGTCAAGTTGGGTCACTGTGGCCTGTTGTGTCAGAGGTGAGTGCCAAGTTGGGTCACTGTGGCCTGATGTGTCACAGGTGAGTGTCAAGTTGGGTCACTGTGGCCTGTTGTGTCAGAGGTGAGTGCCAAGTTGGGTCACTGTGACCTGTTGTATCATGGGTGAGTGTCAAGTTGGGTCACTGTGGCCTGTTGTGTCATAGGTGAGTGTCAAGTTGGGTCACTGTGGCCTGTTGTGTCACAGGTGAGTGTCAAGTTGGGTCACTGTGGCCTGTTGTGTCACAGGTGAGTGTCAAGTTGGGTCACTGTGGCCTGTTGTGTCAAGTTGGGTCACTGTGACCTGATGTGTCAAGTTGGGTCACTGTGGCCTGTTGTGTCAGAGGTGAGTGTCAAGTTGGGTCACTGTGGCCTGTTGTGTCAGAGGTGAGTGTCAAGTTGGGTCACTGTGGCCTGATGTGTCAAGTTGGTCACTGTGACTTGTTGTGTCACAGGTGAGTGTCAAGTTGGGTCACTGTGGCCTGTTGTGTCAGAGGTGAGTGTCAAGTTGGGTCACTGTGGCCTGATGTGTCAAGTTGGGTCACTGTGGCCTGTTGTGTCAGAGGTGAGTGTCAAGTTGGGTCACTGTGGCCTGTTGTGTCAGAGGCGAGTGTTAAGTTGGGTCACTGTGGCCTTGTAACACGGGTTTGGGTTCCTCTCTCTACTTATCTTCCTTCTTTGCCCTCTACCCGTATTCTTACTTTTTATTCTCTACCAAGGGACTCCAAAACTTTTACCAAAGCCAACTCCACGCCACGTGGTCCTAAGACGATTGACCGACTTAGGATTCTACACCCAGTATGACGTGACCTAGGCTCTGAACAAAACCCTAGAGTCGCCTCTACGCTGCCACCACCAGACCAGTAATACAAGAGCAATGATCGAGGTCTGGATCGATCACGCTAATTAATCAACCTAGGGGCTTGATCCCCACTATATACGATGACCTTGAGTGTGGAATAAATTACACGGTAATGATAATTCCGATTCGATGTTAGAATCGGCGCCCAATCCAACTTTACCTCGTGTGGACCACGTGACCAGGACAAGTTTACACATAAAACACATGGAAATAATGAAATGCAAAATATTAACAAATTTAATTTATTAAACGAAAACTAAAACAAAATCTAAATATGTTCACTCCCTATCACTTTAACACTCCCTACTTGACCTGAATGGCAAATGAGAAGACTATCCCTATAATTTACAATAGCAACTATACCTTGGGCGACCAGCTCTAGGTGTTGGGCTGGTCTTGGGGAGAGGTAAGATGTTTGACCTCTCCCAGCTGCTCCCGTATTCACACTGACCTCTTCCTTGTCTGGTCTACCCCAGACAGAGTATTGTATCCTTCCGCCTAGTCAAAGTTTTACCAAGTTACTAGCCAGGTTTAAGTTATAACAATTAAACTCTGTTGTACTTAATTGATCCAGACTGGTTGAATTATTTTACTGAAATAAATTACACAAGCCTCTAACGGCAGAGCTGTTCCCGATCACAAAAATGGTTATTAAAACTTTGAGAAATAGTAGACCTGTCAACCCTGCTGACCTATGACCGCCGGTCACTCCGCCTTACAAGTTAGATCTGATTCGTGACGTCACTGATGGTGACTTAAACTCAATAATTAGAATACTCTTGATGTTGTACCCAGTACTATTATACAATACAATTTTAATACAAAATGAATAAAGGCTAATTTCTCTAAATTACTGAATACTATAGGATGATTCATTATACGCAGTTATGAACAAAGCGTCGGTTATTTCCACCGCGAATTCCCCTGGGGGTCAGGTCACCATGCGGGCTCAGCTTCCCATTCTCTTTTGTCGATAAACCACTCTGGATAATTCTTACAACAGCCTAGTTTGTTACAGCCTGTTGTGTCAGAGGTGAGTGTCAAGTTGGGTCACTGTGGCCTGATGTGTCAAGTTGGGTCACTGTGACCTGTTGTGTCAGAGGTGAGTGTCAAGTTGGGTCACTGTGGCCTGTTGTGTCAGAGGTGAGTGCCAAGTTGGGTCACTGTGGCCTGATGTGTCACAGGTGAGTGTCAAGTTGGGTCACTGTGGCCTGTTGTGTCAGAGGTGAGTGCCAAGTTGGGTCACTGTGGCCTGATGTGTCACAGGTGAGTGCCAAGTTGGGTCACTGTGGCCTGTTGTATCAGAGGTGAGTGCCAAGTTGGGTCACTGTGGCCTGATGTGTCACAGGTGAGTGTCAAGTTGGGTCACTGTGGCCTGTTGTGTCAGAGGTGAGTGTCAAGTTGGGTCACTGTGGCCTGTTGTGTCAGAGGTGAGTGTCAAGTTGGGTCACTGTGGCCTGATGTGTCACAGGTGAGTGTCAAGTTGGGTCACTGTGGCCTGTTGTGTCAGAGGTGAGTGTCAAGTTGGGTCACTGTGGCCTGATGTGTCAAGTTGGGTCACTGTGACCTGTTGTGTCAGAGGTGAGTGTCAAGTTGGGTCACTGTGGCCTGTTGTGTCATAGGTGAGTGTCAAGTTGGGTCCCTGTGGCCAGATGTGTCAGAGGTGAGTGTCAAGTTGGGTCGCTGTAGCCTGATGTGTCACAGGTCTGTCTTGTGGAGTCATACTGGTGAAATACTCCAGAGGTGAGTGTCAAGATAGGTCATTGGCCAGATGGTTCTGAGGTCTCCAGCCTTGCATTGGTGTTTATTACTATAAGTGGAATGAGAGACGTCATCTCAAATCTTAATTGTAGGTTTACCCAATGTTACAATAATTACACAAGAACGAGAATGCTAAACTGTGGATAAGAACTAGGGGAAGACAGGGGAGGATAAAGGAGAGATGCTTTACCCAAACAAGCAACTGCCTAAAGATTAAATAACCCCTGGCTCACAAATGGCATACAGTACTTAAAGCAATTAATTGAGTCGTGTGGTCATGCGACTTGGAAAAGGTCCAGGATGGATCGAAGCGTCATGGCTTCACCGTCTTCTAAGTTGTGGTTAGTTCATCAGTACAGCAAATAATTTAGTGCAATTGTTTATATTGAATATAATCCAAAATACCAATTATCCTGTGAGATGGGGATATTAGATGAACTTATTGCTAGCCCTTGATATATAATCTGTCATCCTTCATATAGAAACAGGTAGCAGCAAATTGCTTTGTATTAAAGCTTATTAATATTAAAAAATCATTCATTGTCACAAGAATTTTGCTTCTTCCAGTACCACTCGCTGTGGTGGTATAGGGAACCATCAGTATACTGTACAGTATAAGCTTTGCAAAGGGAGTACAAATGTTCAGTTTTAGTTTTACAATAAAGATAACATTACACACGTGTTGGAACTCATGTCATGTTCACAGCAGCTTCAGTGTAGCTGTGGGATCCTTGTGAGGGCAGCAGTACTCCAGGTTGCAATTCTTTTACCATGTCGTGGCACAGTTGACTAAGGCGCGTCTGGGATCATCCCGGGCGTAGTTTAGACCCCTCATCACGGCCCTTGTGAATCTGTTCATTTGATATCATTCTATTGTGATTTCTATGTGAATCGTGTCATGCTGTTACAGGCAATGATTTAACAAAATTTGTTATACAATAACAAAGTGTGTTTTTGTTTATAATAATTAGAATATCAAGAGAGAGTTAATATAAAGGGATAAAGAATGTATGTTAATTAAGGTGTGTGTTCCCAGGTAACAGTGGTTGGAACAGTGATTGTTGGGGACATCGTGGCCAAGGATGAAGACCAACAGGGACCCTTCTCCACTGTACAGTACTCCATCAAGCCTGGTCCATACTCTGTAAGTCGGCCACATTTCTTTACTCTTCACTAGTTTAGTTTTCTTACTCTATTATGAAGCCTATACTAAACAATAAAATCACAAGTCTGTGATGTATCTATAAGGAACTATTGAGGCCATATTTTAACCCACATCCCCGGCACACACTGTCTGGGGTGTCCAAGGTTGGACTCCCCCTGGCACACACACACACTGTCTGAAGTGTCCAAGGTTGGACTCCCCCTGGCACACACACACACTGTCTGAAGTGTCCAAGGTTGGACTCCCCCGGCACACACACACACACACTGTCTGAAGTGTCCAAGGTTGGACTCCCCCTGGCACACACACACACTGTCTGAAGTGTCCAAGGTTGGACTCCCCCTGGCTCACACACACACTGTCTGAAGTGTCCAAGGTTGGACTCCCCCTGGCACACACACACACTGTCTGAAGTGTCCAAGGTTGGACTCCCCCTGGCACACACACACACTGTGGGGGCCTCGTAGCCTGGTGGATAGCGCGCAGGACTCGTAATTCTGTGGCGCGGGTTCGATTCCCGCACGAGGCAGAAACAAATGGGCAAAGTTTCTTTCACCCTAAGTGCCCCTGTTACCTAGCAGTAAATAGGTACCTGGGAGTTAGTCAGCTGTCACAGGCTGCTTCCTGGGGTGTGTGTGTGTGTGGTGTGGGAAAAAAAAAAAAAAAAAAAAAAAAAAAAAAAAAAAAATAGTAGTTAGTAAACAGTTGATTGACAGTTGAGAGGCGGGCCGAAAGAGCAAAGCTCAACCCCCGCAAAAACACAACTAGTAAACACTGTCTGAAGTGTCCAAGGTTGGACTCCCCCTGGCACACACACACACTGTCTGAAGTGTCCAAGGTTGGACTCCCCCTGGCACACACACACACTGTCTGAAGTGTCCAAGGTTGGACTCCCCTGGCTCACACACACACTGTCTGAAGTGTCCAAGGTTGGACTCCCCCTGGCACACACACACACTGTCTGAAGTGTCCAAGGTTGGACTCCCCCGGCACACACACTGCCTGGGGTGTCCAAGGTTGGACTCCCCCGGCACACACACTGCCTGGGGTGTCCAAGGTTGGACTCCCCCGGCACACACACTGCCTGGGGTGTCCAAGGTTGGACTCCCCCGGCACACACACTGCCTGGGGTGTCCGAGGTTGGACTTCCCTGCTGCCACTTTTGTAGATTGGAACTATCTTAGCCTTTTCCCACATATCTTTTAAGTCTCCAACCACAGGACCATAGAACCTGTACACAGGACCATAGAACCTGTACACAGAACCATAGAACCTGTACACAGGACCATAGAACCTGTACACAGGACCATAGAACCTGTACACAGGACCATAGAACCTGTACACAGGACCATAGAACCTGTACACAGGACCATAGAACCTGTACACAGGACCATAGAACCTGTACACAGGACCATAGAACCTGTACACAGGACCATAGAACCTGTACACAGGACCTGCAGGCCCAAAGAGCCGAAGCTCAAACCCTCGCAAGCACAACTAGGCCAGTACAGGGATGCCTGAAAACCAGTTAAAACCGAAACGCATTGCGTAATAGTGGCTTTAGGCATTGTATGTACTAGCTCTATCTATATATCAATCCATTAATGTAACATCACTTGTATGTATGTACCTTACCTGAATAAACATATTTATTTATTTATTATTTATTTAAAGTAGAATGCTGAGCTCAGGTGCACCTTATCTCAGCACCCATGGTGAAACGCCATCTGGGCCAACTACTTTGTCTCTAGATACCTCTCTATGTATACCCCCTCTCTGGAATTATTATGTCTGGTTCTCTGAAGAGTTCATTTTGCACAAACACATTTTGGAATTATTTGTTTAATGTTTCACACATTTCCTTTTCATTTTCCATGAATCCTTTCCCATTTTCTAGCTCTGAATATTATCATTTACCTGCAATTTGCTTTTAATGAATTTACAGAATAGGTCTGGTTCTGTTTACAACATGAATTGATTTACTGTTATTGTTTTCGAGTAAACCATGAAAATGTGGTGTGGGTAACTGGCAGAAGTAAACATCAAAACTCTACGATGTTTTGATGTTTACTTCTGCCGTTAAATTATCTAAACACATTTTTTAGAAAACCACGATGTGTTCATTTTACAAGATTGTGCACTGTGAGATGATGAATTATTTCCTCATCTAGGATTCATAAGCTTGCAGATATGAGGTTAGATTGATTGCTCGGAAATTTTCTGCTAAACCTTTTCTCTTATTCTTAAACATGTGGGTGTCATTTGCATATTTCCAATCTAGGGGAAACTTTCCTTGGTCTAGAGACTTTGGATAGCAGTTTTAGTGGCATTTACAGCTCCAGTAGGTAGGGGATTCAATGAGTTTATTACCCTTTACCCTACTTTATTACCCTTTACCCTACTTATTGTATTTTAACCCCTAATTTGCACCACTATATAAAAGTGCTACACCAAGGTGTGTATAACTTAAAATACTTAACAAATCAAATGGGGGGGAAATGCACTTATGTCAATTAGAACACAGTTGTGTTCAAGAAATTGCAGACAGTGATTGAAGGGAAGTAGGGGTTAAGTAATGTTCATAATTTGTATGAGAACCATATGTGCAGTACTATAGTATTCTATATGCGCGCGCATATAGGGTCAATGCGCGCGCAGCTTGGGGCGGTTAAAGTCGGCTTCCAGACATACGTTTTCTTCCACTCAGAAAACCCACCGTTTTGGGAAACAGTGTTCTTTATTCTGTTTAGTAAATTACCTGGATGAAGGTACTGTGCCGTCATCCAGGTGTAGCAGAAAATTTGCAGTCATGGTAAATTGTCACTTTACCCATATTTATATACTGGTACATACTTTACTAGTCATAAGCCAAATGAGATATATACAAGAGTTGTTACATTCTTGTAGAGCCACTAGTACGCGTAGCGTTTCGGGCAAGTCCTTAATCCTATGGTCCCTGGAATACGATCCCCTGCCGCGAAGAATCGTTTTTTCATCCAAGTACACATTTTACTGTTGCGTTAAACAGAGGCTACAGTTAAGGAATTGCGCCCAGTAAATCCTCCCCCGGCCAGGATACGAACCCATGACATAGCGCTCGCGGAACGCCAGGCGAGTGTCTTACCACTACACCACGGAGACTGCTAGTCTCCGTGGCTAGAAATGAGGAATTTCCATTTCAAATATCATTACTCAATAAAATAGTTGTTTTGTATGAGTTAATTTATGATTTAAAAATGTGCAATTAGTGCTATAATTGAAGACTTCGTAACATTTTTGGCCAAACCACACACTAAAAATTAAAGAGATGACAATGTTTTGTCGTTCGTCACACTACCGACTTGATAATGGTCCAGGACGGACCGAAACGTCATCATCTCTTCAATTTCTAGTGTGTGGTTTGGTCAACATTTTTCAGCCACGTTATTGTGACTCTTCATCTGCATTTGGTAACATTTAACATTAACATCTCTGCCCGAAACGCTTTGCGTAATAGTGGCTTTAGGCATTGTATGTACTAGCTCCTATCTATAAAGCCAACAAACTTTGTAAAATCTCTTTATGTATGTACCTTTGCCTAAATAAAAATTATTATTATTATTATTATTATTATTATTTACCGTACCTGGTTGCAGGACATGTTTACGTTTGAGTCCCCCCTGAGTGGGTCGCTGGTGCTGCGGAAGCCGCTCGACTACGAGAGCCTCCCAGTGTTCAACATCACCATTGTTGCTCAGGTAGGCCTATTATAGGTTCATGATAATATTATAGTCTTATTTTTTAATGCTAAATGTAAACAGTTTCTGCCAGTTATGGGATTTTATATTTTGCTGGAGGTGATAAATATAATTAAACTTCAATTGTGCGGTGATACAGTGCTTCAAACTCTCACTGTATCTTGTGCTACCCAGTCCCCAATATATGTGCCTAAACCATGCAACTTCACCATTGTAATCATTGCTATCAACTTATATTATGGTTATGTTGAACACAAATTTTACTACAATGTACCTATTAATAATCTTCAAATTATGCTACAATGTACCTTACACTGTACCTTTACAATGTACCTGTTCATATTCTTCAAATTTTGCTACAACTTTTACCTACTGAAATTTATCTATCAGATTAAGGACCTGCTCAAAACGCTATGCGTGTTAGTGGCTTTGCAAGAATGTAAAATCATCAATGCTATGTACTCTCATAAACCCAAATGTACCTTCTTGTATATATATAAATAAATAGATAAATTAATCAAAATAATTGGGATCATTTTAGATTCAATTGTTTTTCTTAAGTAATGTAAAGTATAAGAATAAAAAGTTATTTGTAATAAGTTTTGAAAGCACAAAATGATAATTCCGTGCCTAAAGACATCCCAGGGTCCCAGTTGTACCCCACATAATAATTACCCAAGTGTAGTTACAGGATGAGAGCTACGCTCGTGGTGTCCCGTCTTCCCAGCACTCTTTGTCATGTAACGCTTTGAAGCTACTGACGGTCTTGGCCTCCACCACCTTCTCACTTAACTTGTTCCAACCGTCTACCACTTTGTTTGCGTAATGTAACATCAATTTAGTGAGTGTACTGTGAGTGAGTTGAGTACTGTGAGGTACTTTGTAAACACTATTAAATAATTTGACATTGTCCTTGAAGTGAGTAATAATTGGGTACCCCTCAGGACCAGGCAGCGTCAGCACAGAGCAGCAGCACGGTGCTGACAGTACAGGTGCAGGATGCTGACGACCAGAACCCCGCCTTCACCAGAGACCACTACATGGCCGTCATCCCAGATAATCCCATCAAGGTCAGTAGAAACCATGTACTGTACCTGTCTCGCATTACCAATCATATCTTTAACATAGCATTATGTATGATTAACCTAAGTGATTATTTTGCAGTGCACCATTAAGCTTTTATGTAAATTTTTTGTCCTCTAAATGTAGACATTATTAACAAGTGCCTAATTGGTGGCGCAGGGTGCCAAGGTGGAAGTTCAGCCAGAGACGGTACAGGCACTGGACCGAGACGAGGGAATTATGGCATCTGTCTTTTATTCCTTCAGTAGAGGTCAGTGCGGCTGCTTTATATTTTGTTTGTATCCACCTGTGTGTTGTACAGGCGGAGAGTTTTGTTCATATAATGTTCATATAATGTGAACATATGTTCCTCCTTTTCCAGTAGTAGTTGTGCATTCAACATCCTCCAGTCCAATCAGTATGGTTTCAACCGAGATTAGATATGTAGTCATGATCAGACATTGGGTCAAATCCTCTCGGCCACTAAATCTGTTTACATTAGTGTAGATTACACTCTTTCACTCATCTTGACCTTTACATTCCATAACATCACGTTTTTAACTTCCCACCATTTCTTCATGGTGTCTGATGTTCCCACACCTGCCTCCACACTGAATTTGATGGCTGAATATGTATATCGAAATCTAAAAAATTTAAATGTCAAAAATCATTATTTTTATTTCCCACCAAATTATATTCCTCTCCAGTAAATGTAAATGAATGATTTTTTCCTTTCTAATCTTATTCTTAATTATCCCAAGGCAGCAATAAATATGGGAACAGTGAGATGGGGACATGTAGTGTAGGGCAACAAAATCTCTGGTGTAGTGGTAAGACACTCGCCTGGCGTTCCGCGAGCGCTATGTCATGGGTTCGTATCCTGGCCGGGGAGGATTTACTGGGCGCAATTCCTTAACTGTAGCCTCTGTTTAACGCAACAGTAAAATGTGTACTTGGATGAAAAAACGATTCTTCGCGGCGGGGATCGTATTCCAGGGACCATAGGATTAAGGACTTGCCCGAAACGCTACGCGTACTAGTGGCTCTACAAGAATGTAGCAACTCTTGTATATATCTCAAAAAAAAAAAAAAAAAAAAAAAAAAAAATGGGTCCAACGACTTGGGGTTGATAGAGCGACGGTCTCGCTGCATGCAATCCCCGACCGTCCAAATGGTTGGGCACCATATTCAAATCCTTTACCTGGGCTTGATCCTTTCCCATGATAATTCCCTCCCTTCCCCCCTTCATGTGTGGTGCCTACAGTTACCCTATGCAGGGAGCGAGCAGACAGCACGCTGGACTTGTGATCCTGTGGTCCTGGGTTCGATTCCAGGCGCCGGCGAGAAACATTGGGCAGAGTTTCTTTCACCCTATGCCCCTGTTACCTAGCAGTAAAATAGGTACCTGGTTGTTAGTCAGCTGTCACGGGCTGCTTCCTGGGGGTGGAGGCCTGGTCGAGGACCGGGCCGCGGGGACACTAAAAAGCCCCGAAATCATCTCAAGATAACCTCAAGATAAGGTTGACGGTCTCGCTGCCTGCAGGTTGGTGTTTAATCCCCGACCGTCCAAATGGTTGGGCACCATATCTCAAATCCTTTACCTGATCCCCTTTAGTCATAATGGCTTGATCCTTTCCCATGATAATTCCCCCCCCCCCCCCCCCTTATGTGTGGTACCCTACCCTATAACCCTGGAGGTGCTCTCCCTCCCAATGTCCTGGGCTGAAGAGATAATGCTCAAGAAGTATCATTCTCAAAATGGTGATCATAGTAAAATGTATTATTTTTCTGGGTACAGAGGAGGCTGAAGCAGCATGGTTTAGCATCGAGCCAAGCACTGGTGAGGTGACCTTGGCCGAGGACCTTCCTGACGACAAGCTGAACCAGCCTACGACGCTCGTTGTCAGGGTGGGTTGCCAACACTTCTAGTACTGTATTACCGTCACTTTTACTACGGGCTCACCATAGCCCGTGCTACCTGGAACTTTTTCTTCCAGGTAGCGAATCTTCAACAACAACCGTCACTTCATTTGCTTCTTACAAAGTATTCTCAATAGGTTTATCAAAGGCTGTTTGTTATTTCAAGCTAAATGTATGTGAAGTAGGCCTATACGGTACCATGTTTATTATATTTTACTGCATATTATCATTATACTGTTATCTCATTATATAGACCCATGTTTTTAAATCGTCACATTTTCATGACCTAAATTTGTAGCTGCTTGCTGTTTTTTTTTATAAATAACGCTTTTACCTCTACTCTCTAAGGCAACTCAAGTAGACAATCCTGATCGCTATGCCTTGACGACCATCACATTGTCAAGACGGGGTTACTACTCCACCCAACTGCAGTTCATCCAGCGTGATTACGTAGCAACAGTCCTCGAGAGCTTACCCAGACACTCTCTCATCGCTCCTACAATGATCAACAAAAATATTGATAAGGTATATAATGTTACAGTACTTGCTATAGCTTAGTATTTTATCATGGCAACTCATTCCAGATAATGATGTCAAAACATTTACTGTTATGTATGCTTTTTCTTTTATTATGCACCCCATAACCATCCTTTGAGCAGTAGTGAACCTCTCGACCATTCTGTGAGTAATAGTGTACCCCACCATATACACAACGAAACTATGATGTTGCTACAACGTTCGAACAAGTTCTAACACCTCCTAACCACTTATAACAACCAATATAGCAAGTTGTAACAACGTTCTAATACGTCATAAACACGTTAAGCCAAGATGTAACAACTTTATTACAAGTTGTAACAAGCAGAAAATAGGGACTGTTATGGTTTGTGTTTCCAGGGACCCCATATGTAGTAGTAGTTTACCCCCCATACTCATCATGTGAGTGGTTACACTTGTTTGATAGTTATCTTACCTTGCTGTTATCTAGCGATGATTTTGGGGCTCAACGTCCCCGCCGCCAGGTCCTCAACCAGGCTGTTGGACGTGGCTGCTCGCAACCTGACGTATGAATCACAGCCTGGTTGATCAGATCACCACCACCTCACTTAACTTGTTCCAACCATCTACCACTCTGTTTGTGAAAGTGAATTTTCTTATATTTCTTCGGCATCTTTGTTTAGTTAGTTTCAATCTATGACCTCTTGTTCTTGAAGTTCCAGGTCTCGGGAAATCTTCCCTATCGATTTTATCAATTCCTGTTACTATTTTGTATGTAGTAATCATATCACCTCTTTTTCTTCCGTCTTCTAGTTTTGGCATATTTAGTGCCTCTAACCTCTCCTCGTAGCTCTTGCCCTTCAGTTCTGGGAGCCACTTAGTAGCATGTCTTTGCACCTTTTCCAGTTTATTGATGTGATACTCAAGATATGGGCACCACACAACCGCTGCATATTCTAGCTTTAGCCTAACAAAAGTCGTGAACAATTTCTTTAGTATATCGCCATCCATGTATTTAAAAGCAATTCTGAAGTTAGAAAGTGTGTCATAGGCTCCTTGCACAACGTTCTTTATGTGGTCCTCAGGGGATAGTTTTCTATCTAGAACCACCCCTAGATCTCTTTCTTTATCAGAATTCTTTAAAGATTTCTCACATAATTTATACGTTGTGGGGTCTATGTTCTTCTATTCCACATTCCATAACATGGCATTTATTCACATTAAATTCCATTTGCCAAGTGCTGCTCCATATACTTATTTTGTCCAGGTCTTCTTGAAGGGCATGACAATCATCTAAGTTTCTTATCCTTCCTATTATCTAAGCATCATCAGCAAACATGTTCATATTATTCTGTATACCAACTGGTAGATCATTTATGTAGACAATGAACATCACTGGTGCAAGAACTGAACCCTGTGGTACTCCACTTGTGACATTTCTCCAGTCCGATACATTGCCTCTGATTACTGCCCTCATTTTTCTATCAGTCAGAAAATCTTTCATCCATGTTAGAAGCTTACCCGTCACCCCTCCAATATTTTCCAGTTTCCAGAACAACCTCTTATGTGGAACTCTGTCGAAAGCCTTTTTTTAGGTCCAGATAGATGCAGTCAACCCAACCATCTCTCTCCTGTAAAATCTCTGTGGTTCGATCATAGAAACTGAGTAAATTCGATACACAGGATCTTCCAGATCAGAAACCATACTGTCTGTCTGATATTATATCATTTCTCTCCAGGTGTTCTACCCATTTAGTTTTTATTATTTTTTCCAATATTTTCACTATTACACTTGTCAATGATACAGGTCTATAATTAAAGGGGTCTTCCATGCTTGCACTTTTGTAGATTGGAACTATGTTAGCCTTTTTCCACACGTCTGTCACGATTCCAGTACACAGGGATGCCTGAAAGATCAGGTGAAGTGGAATGCTGAGCTCAGATGCACATTCTCTCAGAACCCATGGTGAAACTCCATCTGGGCCAGCTGCTTTGTTCTTACTGAGCTCCTTTAGCATATTTTCCACTTAATCTCTAGACACCTCTATACGCTCTATGTTGTTCTCTGGAATTCTTATTGTGTCTGGTTCTCTGAAGATTTCATTTTGTACAAACACACTTTGGAACTTTTCATTTAATGTTTCACACATTTCCTTTTCATTTTCTGTGAATCTGTTTCCCATTTTCAACCTCTGGATATTATCCTTTACCTACAATTTGTTGTTTGTGTGTGTGTGTGTGTGTGTCAGTCATTCTTGGAAAGGTCAGTATAGTTGGCCTCGGGGAGGATAGTTGTTGATTTGGGCTGTCTTTTCACTTGTGGTTCTTGCTTATTCCCTATTCTTCTCATAGTATATTACTTCTTTGTAGTAGATTACTCTCAACAATTTCTTTGCCAACCTTCTATTTTTTTTATATAAAAAGTCTCTGCTTCATTTCTTCCATAGCTCTCATTTAGTAAACTCTTGATCCGTTAATTTTGTATTGAACAAATGACTAAGGCACGTGTGTTCCGCAGAACATCAGGTTCAGCCTGGAGAAGGATGGTGACGGAGTGTTCCGCATATCACCTTCAGGACAAATTCTTCTCGATTATGATCTTGATTTTGAGACCAAGCAGGAATATGATCTCAAAATCTATGTAAATGATGGGGAATTTGTGAGTATCAGTATATTAAATATTTGTATTATATTGACCTAAAAACTCACTTGTCAAATAAAGCTTTATAGAGCACATTGTTCATTGATTTATTTACGACATGAAATGATACGACGTATTTTTTAAACAAGTAATTAATATACATTTTATCACTCTGCATTTCCAGAATGACACAGCCACATTAAAGGTGCAAGTGCTAAATGTCAATGATTGGGATCCACGCTTTCGGTTTCCACAGTACGAGTTCTTTGTCACCTCGACCACCCTCAGACCAGGAGACGGTATTGGCAATGTAGAAGTTGCTGATGGAGACCGAGGGGACCAGATAACTCTTACAGTCATGGGACAAGATGCTAAGTAAGCTTTAGTTATAATTTGCCTTATGTTCTGTTTAATTTTTTATAGCTTGATATAGTAATGTTGACCAGACCACACACTAGATTACCGTGTGTAATCGCCACGTTATTGTGACTCATCGTCTGCAAATACAGTATGTTGTATACAGTGATATCACAGTAATGCAATATTTTTATGAGATAATGTATGAAGCACAACACTGGGATTGAACCAGAGTCCTGAATCACCAGACACATGCTGCCCCCTTGGATTACAATATTTTGGTTCAATCTGCCATATTGCTCCAAGGAATTTCTCACGGTATGGCGGTTGTCCGGTCTGGACCAGAGGAGTAAGTCGTCCGGTCTGGACCAGAGGAGTTAGTCGTCCGGTCTGGACCAGAGGAGTTAGTCGTCCGGTCTGGACCAGAGGAGTTGTACCAAAATAATAATACAGTATTAATAATTTTATTCATAAAATATACATAGATCTATGCATAGACCTATTATGCATATTAATTTAAATGTAGCCCTTCACTCATCTATTGTAATTTGAATGGGTTATGTGTATTCACCAAATATTTTACAAAATCATCATGTAGCCTAAGTCTTCATAAATAAAAAATATCAGTATAAATTTTCCTGTAAAATATTTATATGAATTATCTGTTATATATTCCCAGGATGTTTGCTATCAGCAATGATGGAGAACTGAGGATTCGAGATCTAACATCACTAAATTCTACCGTAGCTCACATTGTAGTGCTGGCACGAGACTCTGGCATCCCGCCACGAACGGTAAACCTTTACTCTATCTTGTTGATTAATTTGTATCGCACACATGCAGTAATTGTACTTGAATTTAGTTTTTTTTTTTTTTTTTTTTGAGATATATACAAGAGTTGTTACATTCTTGTACAGCCACTAGTACGCATAGTGTTTCGGGCAGGTCCCTGGAACACGATCCCCGCCGCGAAGAATCGTTGTTACAACCAAGTACACATTTTACTGTTGAGTTAAACAGAGGCTACAGTTAAGGAATTGCGCCCAGTAAATCCTCCCCGGCCAGGATACGAACCCATGACATAGCGCTCGCGGAACGCCAGGCGAGTGTCTTACCACTGCACCACGGAGACTGCTGAGGGCTTCAATGGGAACAGGATGCCTGTGGCTTGTGAAAAGTTTCCCTAATGTCTAAGTACTCTTTACCACTGATTAAATATGGAGGGTATTGTCCAACAAATTTTATTATGCCACATATCAAGTATTTTTCATTACATCATCTTTGACCTTTATACACATTTTCCCCATGTCTGGTACTGCTGTGTGTCCTGTATATTACTCTATGAACAATTATTATAAACTAACGAGAAGGCTCAGAACTCATGATGAAAGTCTGCAATGCTTCCTGCACTCTTGAAACTTTTAAGTCTCTTGACAGTTTCCAAAGATGATCTGAGATATGATTCTTTGGGCTTTAACCCAGACAAATGCAAAGTTAGTTTAGTCTCAGCAGTACAGTGGCTATGTTCTTAACAGAGGAGCCGGTCGGCCGAGCGGACGGCACACTGGACTTGTGATCCTGTGGTCCTGGGTTCGATCCCGGGCGCCGGCGAGAAACAATGGGCAGAGTTTCTTTCACCCTATGCCCCTGTTACCTAGCAGTAAATAGGTACCTGGGTGTTAGTCAGCTGTCACGGGCTGCTTCTTGGGGGTGGAGGCCTGGTCGAGGACCGGGCCGCGGGGACACTAAAGCCCCGAAATCATCTCAAGATAACCTCAAGATAACATACAGTTGAAGGCCCTGGGTTTGATTCCTGGGTGGGAAAGAGAGAGAAATAAATCTGCACATTTCCTTTTATATAATGCCTATGTGCACCTAATAGTAAATAGGTACCCAGGAGTAAGGCAAATGTTGAGGAGTTACATCCTGTGGAGGGTCATTAATTTGACGTGAAGAGACCTCAATACAAACCTAAACTATGTATGTACACAGGCTACCTGTCCCTGTCAAAATGAATTATGAGGATTCTTGCTATATGAATAGCAAGAAGTCCTCAAATATAATAGGGAATGAAGGGAAAGTAAGTAAGTAATTGTCAAAAGAAGGCACCAAACCGGGAAGGCTATGTAGCACCATCAAATGTGCGGAATAATCAGAGGGCGCTAAATATCACCAAGGATGCCAATACCAGAACAAAAACGCATAAGACGAACGATATCAAAAGTATCCGAGTCGCCAAGAATTCTATTGAATGAAGGGAAAGCAACTTCCCACTTCTGAAAGAGAGACTGTATATTAGACATAACTCCAGATCTATCATCAGAGGCACACATTAGCCAAACAATAATAGCATCATATGCCTTATTGGCAAACATCTAGATATTTTAAATAAAGTACAGTAATCAACAAAACTGGTGAGGTGAGTAACTTGTTACAGTGACTATGCAGTACTAACAACCTCACCCTTGGCAATTAGGATCTCGGTAATCCTGTCTTCCTTCCGAACATTGGTATACTGTACAGTACTATATACCAAAATAGATAGGGGCCCCCACACTAAAGTGATGTAGCAACTGAACATACCCTTATGAAGTGTGTCCAGACCAACTGCTCAGGTCCTGAGACAAAGCCCCATGGAGCTATAAATGTAGGGGTAAAGTTAAGAAGAGAACAGCCACTGTTGAGAAACTAACCAAACCAGAGAGAAGATAACTTGAGAATCAGTCAATTAAAGAATTAATCTTGCAGCAAATGTGAATACGTGTACATGAAAATGCCCACTAGTTGCTCAAGCCTACAGTTAGTGAAACAATAAATTTGTAAGGATATAAAAAGATCATTTAATTGTGATGTATCTTTTTTTCTAATTTTTTATAATTTTTTTGGTTTACTGCAGGCATCAGCCCCTATTAGCATCACCTTCCCAGCGGGTCTGGTGCGGTCCTCTCCACTTGGAGCCAACTCTAGCTTCCTGCTCATGGTCATCTTCGGCTCCCTCCTTGGGATCTTCATCTTAATAATCATCTGCCTTGCCATCTACATCCACAAAAAGTATGTTTAAATTCATAATTTAATTTCTGTGGGAGCCCCCGTCGGCTCCTTGAAGCTATCCGAACTGTTATGTGCTATATTAGTTTGGGGTTACTAGTCACAGGGTCCTTATGCCTACCGGGGACCACGAGCCAGAACCTGGCTCTTCTCAGAGAGGCGCAGGGAGCAATGGCCAATGAGCACTTTACATTTAAGGTATGTCATAATTGCCATCGACCAGGGAAGGACCCAGAAAGGTAGGTGAATCAAAACAGACCACTGTCTGGTTAACCTTGCAATCAACCGCCTAATAGATCAAAATAACTCCACTAGAAAGAAATCCAACAAGCAACACTTCATGCAACTAGCACTCTTGCTCATTAGTGCTACTCCCCCCCCCCCCCACCTTTCCAGGAAACAGGTTCCCCTGTTCCTGGGCTCGTATGTCTCGGGTTGTCCACAGGCTCCTCAAGTTCGGCTAGCCTGTAGTCTACGTTCGTGCCCATGATGTTTGGATGTATGCTGCTCTCGCAGCAGTTTTTGAGGACATGTCTTGGGTAGACATTTGGGCCTGGGGGTTTTGGTGATCGAACAGGGTCCTGGCTGCCAGGTTTCTGGTGAACGTTCCGGTTCCTTTCCGGCCGTGTGTAGCTTGCAGTGTCTGTCTCTTCTTCGTCTTGATACCTGCGGTGCTGCCGCCTCCCAGTAATATCCCTCTTTTTACTTTGAGTAGTTAGCTTCAGGGAGCCAATGGGGCTCCCCACAGCAAACCAGCATTGAATGTAATGAAATGTCATTTTCTAGGCGAGCCCCCGAGGCTCCCTGACATCCTCCCTCCCTCCGGTCAGCGATTTTTCATTGTTTAAGAACTATGGTGGGAGGCTGCTGGTTCTGGAGAGCTGGCTTCCCCTTCCCCCTACGAGGGAGGGGGGGGGGGGTTAACACTAACGAGTGGATGTGCTAGTCGCACGAAGGGTTGCTTGTTTGTTTTTCTTTCTAGGGGAGTTATTTTGATCTTTTAGTATGTACATTGCACAGGTTAACCAGGCAGTAGTCCGTTTTGATTTGCCTACCTTTCTTAGGCCTTTCCCGGTCGAAGGCAATTATGACGTACTTTAAATGTAAAGTATTCATAGGCCATTACTCCCGGCGCCTCTCTGAGGGGAGCCAAGTTCTGGCTCGTGGTCCCTGGTAGTCATAAGAACACATGTGACGGATGACCCCAAACTAATATAGCACATATCAATTTGGATAGCTTCAGGGAGCCTCTGGGGCTCACCCAGAAAATGGCATTTCATTACATTCAGTGCTTTTTTTTTTTAACCTATGGGAACAGGTAAATATATAGTATATATTGACAGCTGAATTGCTTTACGAAATCAACTTGTATTGCACAAGTTGTAGCGTGTATTCATTACTAACTTTAAGCAAGAAAAAATTACAAGGCTCCCACAGATCTTAGAAGCTTGAGTCACCAGTATCAACCAATGGAACTGCTAGGATGAAAATGCCACAGAGCTCACCAATGAGACACAGCATTCCAATTTCATGATTATCTGGCCATTCAACAATAAGGTCAAACCATAATACTGTTTAAAAAACAGAGTGCATGCGTTTGTATATATTGCTTTTTACTGAGTCGAGACGGGAGTGTTGATGCGTGATCAACGTAACATAACAAAGACATGCTCCTCTTCCAGCAAAAAGTATCCTGATGATCCCACAGCTGCTCTTCCTACCAAAATGAGGAATGTAGGCTCCATGTAAGTGCAGATTTGCACCTTCTTCATCTGTTAAGCACAGAGGGTCTTGCTGTTGGGTTTTACAAAATGCACCTTGGTATCCATACATATAATTACCTGCGACTTAACAGTACACGAAGGACCTTGAGTGACGGAGTTCTTACTCGAGGGACCTTGTGTGACGGAGTTCTTACTCGAGGGACCTTGTGTGACGGAATTCTTACTCGAGGGACCTTGTGTGACGGAGTTCTTACTCGAGGGACCTTGTGTGACGGAGTTCTTACTCGAGGGACCTTGTGTGACGGAGTTCTTACTCGAGGGACCTTGTGTGACGGAGTTCTTACTCGAGGGACCTTGTGTGACGGAGTTCTTACTCTAGGGACCTTGAGTGACGGAGTTCGTACTCAAGGGACCTTGTGTGACGGAGTTCTTACTCAAGGGACCTTGTGTGACGGAGTTCGTACTCAAGGGACCTTGTGTGACGGAGTTCGCACTCAAGGGACCTTGTGTGACGGAGTTCGCACTCAAGGGACCTTGTGCGACGGAGTTCGTACTCAAGGGACCTTGTGCGACGGAGTTCTTACTCTAGGGACCTTGTGTGACGGAGTTCGTACTCAAGGGACCTTGTGTGACGGAGTTCGTACTCAAGGGACCTTGTGTGACGGAGTTCATACTCAAGGGACCTTGTGTGACGCAGTTCTTACTCAAGGGACCTTGAGTGACGGAGTTCTTACTCAAGGGATCTTGTGTGACGGAGTTCTTACTCAAGGGATCTTGTGTGATGGAGTTCTTACTCAAGGGACCTTGTGTGACGGAGTTCGTACTCTTACCTTTTAATGTCAGAAACTGTTACTTGAATACTTTAAGAACTTACTTTAATCTTAACACTCATTCCAAGTTTACTGTGACTTAAGACATACCAATCATCATCTTATTGTTCCTGTAAACACTTTACAAGATTACTGTGGTTTAAAACAGAGACTTCATAGAGCTTCAGTGATTTCAAACAAAGACTTAACTTACTTTTACTTAACCACTGCGCTGCGCCAACCGAGAAATCTCGTTCTGAGAGTTGTACTAATTTTTTTAATTAGGCTATATGTTTTTTAATGTTTTCATCGCTCTGTGTTTTGAAATGAAAATGGTTGAGTTTGGAAACATTTTGACATTAACTTCACCTGAATATTTATAAAAACAACAACAAATATGTCCTTAACAATTGCACTATGAAGTTTTTGCGAAAAACAGGTGCGCAGTGCAGGGGTTAAAACACTTAGAGTAACGAAAGGAAGTAAGTAACTTAAGGAAACACTTCTACCTTTCTCTCCTGACACAGACAGCTGTCAGTCGTGCTACTTGAAAGTCAGGAGCAGCAGTATAGCATCGTCTTATTAACTTTGTTTCGTCTTTATAATAATAATAATAATAATATTTTATTTAGGTAAGGTACATACATACAATAAATTTTTACAAAGATTGGTTGACTTATAGGTAGAGCTAGTACATACAATGCCTAAAGCCACTATTACGCAAAGCGTTTCGGGCATACTTGCCCGAAATCGAGGTCTTTTGCTCTGCATGTACTCTACTGAATTCTGGTTTATTAACCAATTAGTTTATTGCATTATACCTCCTTACAGCATATTGTTTGAAAGTTTTTCAGAAAAGGCAGCAGGATTTCATATTTAATTTTGTTGCAAATCATAAGTACCGGAACAGTAATTCGTGTATTACTGTATCTTGGTTTTAGTCGCAATTTATTGACCATTTATTATGTATAATTTATCTATACGGCTAAGACACATCCACCTTAAATACAGAATATTTATCATGAGGAAAACATTTTGATGACGAAGGCAGTGGTTAGTTTATTGTGCGCCCCATACACCAGCAGTGGTTAGTTTATTGTGCACCCCATACACCAGCAGTGGTCAGTTTATTGTGCGCCCCATACACCAGCAGTGGTCAGTTTATTGTGCGCCCCATACACCAGCAGTGGTCAGTTTATTGTGCACCCCATACACCAGCAGTGTTAGTTTATTGTGCACCCCATACACCAGCAGTGGTCAGTTTATTGTGCACCCCATACACCAGCAGTGGTCAGTTTATTGTGCACCCCATACACCAGCAGTGGTCAGTTTATTGTGCACCCCATACACCAGCAGTGGTCAGTTTATTGTGCGCCCCATACACCAGCAGTGGTTAGTTTATTGTGCGCCCCATACACCAGCAGTGGTCAGTTTATTGTGCACCCATACACCAGCAGTGGTCAGTTTATTGTGCACCCCATACACCAGCAGTGGTTAGTTTATTGTGCGCCCCATACTCGGACTGTAGGCAGTGGTGCAACAGGACTACAGAGCACACTAAAGGTCTTGATCAGACCTCAATGAATGTTTTTGACAGAAGCAGTTTATATATACCCATTATACTTAATCATAATGACACTAATGGTAACAGAACCGTTATTTATGTTGCAACATCTAACTGTAAGGTTACACATTGCAACAAAGTCATTTAGGCAATATTTGACATAATTATAACTAAAGGTACAACCAGGTACCTTTGCCAGGTACCAGATACTGGAATATGCAGCTCTGGCCTGGAATCCACACCTTGTGAAGCATAAAACTTAAATTGAAAAGTGCAGAGGTTATTGACTAGATTAGTTCCAGAGCTAAGAGGGTTAGGCTATGCAGATATGTTGAAGGAGCTAGACATTACAATCCTGAAGGACAGAAGAAACACAGGAGATATGATCACAACACACTCGATACCATGGGGGAATAGACAAGGTAGACACAAATTGAAAGAAGGTTGGACAAGAGCGACACAACTGGAAGCTGGAAACACAAATGAGTTGCAGAAATGCAAGGAAATACTCATACCCTGTACGGGTGGTCAACAAGTGGAATGCATAGGAGGAGTTGTGGAAGTCACCTGCATCCACAACTTTAGGGATAGATTCCACAATAAATTGAGTGCTAGAATAGGTAAACACTTGTTGCACCCCAGCACGTGCAACAAATTTTGTAGATGGGGCATAAAAAGCTAGACCTCATGTCCCCTAGTCACTGATAGGTAAACACTAATAGGTAAATGAGCATGCATTACAGGCCTTAGAATACAAGTACACTACAATGCATTACAAGTCTTAGAATACAGGTACACAACACATTATAGGTCTTAGAATCCAGGCACACATTGATCACTACTTTCAAAATACTAAGAGGGCTATACCAAATTGACAAAGAGGAATTCCTGAAACCAGCAACCAGCAACTTCACAAACAAGAGGACACAGATTCAAGCTAAGAAAACAGAGGTGCCAAAAAATATTATAAAATTTTCTTTTACAAACAGAGTGGTAGACAGTTGGAACAAGTGAGGTGGTGGTGGAGGCCAAAACCATCGGTAGTTTCGAAGCATTATACAATAAAGAGTACCGGGAAGATGAGACACCACAAGCGTAGCTCTCATTCTGTAACTACACTTAGGTAATTACTTAAGTAATTACTAATGGATTGTAGCACCCCTCATGACTACGTGATTGTGCAGATGTAAAAGTGCAGTGACAGTGTTTTTATTACGGGGAGCAATGGAGTGGGCCTTTACAGTGATTTAAGATGCAGATGCAAAAACAGAGACGTGTGAAGCCATTCATGTTAGTGGGTGTTCATGTTGATTGTAGGGCAGGGAAGTCCCCCTATCATCCCCCCTATAAATATTTGACATTTCCTTAAATCCACCAAATCTTCGCAAACACTCTATGCAATTTTAAGAACTTAAAATATGGGAGTCTCTTCTTCAGGACCTGAGGAAGTAAAGAATTCATCAACCTACTCTATACTACATGAAAATTACAGTATAGAGAAGAAACGGTCAATTGCATCATAAGAGTCCACTGTTGTGATGCAGACTACATTAATAAATCACATCTACCCAAGGACCTTGTACCACTACTTCACTTAGTGCTGTGTTATCTATAATTCCTTCCTCAATGTCATTTCCTGATATTAACTACTGGTATAATATGTACAGTAGTTTTAATTTGTTTAAAACCGATTGTTTTCTTTTAACTTCCAAATCACTTCAAAATTTCAATGCAGACCTCAATTACTAGGTTTATATGCTAGTTTAGTATAAATTGAACTTATATTAATTTCCAAATACAAATAGTACCTTATTAATTTGTTAGCTTCAGGAATTGCCTGAAACACTGTTAATGATTTTACTAGAATGCTATTTTCAGAAAGCTTTATTTTCTAACTCATTGTTAATTTTTGTAAACGTTAACAAATAAAAATAATGGTACAGCCTTACACATAGGACATAAAAATATATATCACAGCTACCATATTGATCATTTGGTCTGGTCTTGTAAGGGATTAGTAAAGAAATCCTGTTTGGATTAATAGTTTACTGGAATGGAGCTGCTTAACTAGTAGTGGCTGCCAAAAAAACAAAAAAGACTAGAAATAACTAAACTAATCTTAGACTTTTTCAACTATTAATTCTAGGACTGTAAAACTTAATTTTCTGTGCTGTTACAACAGTAAGAAGTGTCGAGACGATAATGATGCTGCGTTGCCCACCAAGATGAGTCAAATTGTGTCCAACAACATCACTCACACTAAGCTGGACCCGCTCTCACCACTCAACCACCAGGTAAAATTGGCTCAGTCTGAGTATTTTGTGTAATTACCTCACTTAATTAATTACCAATTAAGTGTAATAAATGACATCTTCAAGATGAAACTAGATTGATTCCTTCAAGGAGTGCCGGACCAACCGGGCTGTGGTGGGTATGTGGGCCTGCGGGCCGCTCCAAACAACAGCCTGGTGGACTAAACTCTCACAAGTCAAGCCTGGCCTCGGGCCGGGCTGTGGTGGGTATGTGGGCCTGCGGGCCGCTCCAAACAACAGCCTGGTGGACCAAACTCTCACAAGTCAAGCCTGGCCTCGGGCCGGGCTTGGGGAGTAGAAGAACTCCCAGAACCCCATCAACCAGGTACCTAAGTTTGGTTACAGGGTGGTGGAAGGACAAGTGTGAAGTGAACATGTTGACAGCTATTCACAGTGGTGAGATGGTTGATAGTGGCACCCTTTACCTTGTGGTGATTCCGATGACCAACATCCCCGTGACTCAGAAACTGACCAGGAGGATGGTGGTCTGGTCAACCAGGCTGTTGAATGTGGCTGCTCACGGCCTGACTTATGAATCACAACCTGGCTGATCAGGTATACTTTGGAAGGGTTTATCGAGTTCTCTTGAACACCATGAGAGGCCAGCCAGTTATCCCCTTTATGTCTAGAGTTTTTAAGTCTTAGGCATTTGATGTTGATAGAGTTCTCTCTCAGCATACCTACTGCTGAGAGAAGTGAGAGAAGTCTCTTTTATATCTGATTTTTCTGTATATTCATCAGTATCAGGAGCATCTTGAGGTTATCTTGAGATGATTTCGGGGCTTTTTAGTGTCCCCGCGGCCCGGTCCTCGACCAGGCCTCCACCCCCAGGAAGCAGCCTGTGACAGCTGACTAACTCCCAGGTACCTATTTACTGCTAGGTAACAGGGGCATTCAGGGTGAAAGAAACTTTGCCCATTTGTTTCTGCCTCGTGCGGGAATCGAACCCGCGCCACAGAATTACGAGTCCTGCGCGCTATCCACCAGGCTACGAGGCCCAACAAGTGGCACAGTAGTGGTGCTGTTGACCAGGAACTCCATGGCAGTGGAGTAGGCCTCGCCATAGAGATGCTCACTGGTTCATCATTTTTGCTCTGTATTACTGAAATCCAGGTAGTGATAGACTCAACATATAAATCAGATCATTGATGTCATATTCAGTGAGTGTCTTGTTAATTTCCTCTTGTGAGGGATGGTGTGGAGCAAGCCACGTGACGGCGTTGTGAGCCAGACGTGTATGGTTGCTGTGTACAACCTGAAGCCTACCAGCTACCATGCGGGAACCTGCGATTTCTTTTCAAGATGGCGGCTGTTTACTGGAGGCCTGAGGGATCGAACGGGTGTCCTATTTACCACACGGGAGTGTGTCTTATGCTAGACCTTAAAATTACACTGGTTGTGCTCACCCTCGATGAAACAACAATGGTTGTGATGTGCAGTTTAAGGATGTGTATTCCCTGTTCTGGATTTTGAGTAGATGAACAAATCTTTTACAAAATTTGACTCCAATATCTTCCTCTCCACACTATAACCCCAGTGGGTTATGGTGGGGAGTAATTGTCAACCTGCCCGGCTGTTTGGTCGCGTTCTTGGGAGTGCACGATATAGTCTACGGGAACAACCAAATGCCCTACTTTGAAATTAGCTTTTGATCTGCACTCAAAGCCTTATTTTGGTCTTAACATAATTAACAGCTTCAATATATGTACAGTAGGCTACATAGATGTATTGACTACTGGACCTATAGCTATGTTTACACAATACTGTACAATGATATATTTTAAACCATATTCTACAGAAATTGCATCATAAGCTTCCACGTAAAATAATTGATATTGTTTAATTTGATCAGATGCAGGGTAATGGACGGCAGATGACGCCACTGGGAAGTCCGTTATCTCCCAGTGGTCTGGCCGGAATCGAGCTCCCAAGCTCCGACAACAACAACACTCACACTGAGAATAACAATTACAACAATGAAACCATCAGAGCAGCCAGCACAAGTGAGTAACTTGATTTAAAGACCCAGTAATATATTGGTATATACTGTATAAACTCAGAAACTTACTTTTGGATATACAGTATGTATTGTAATCAAGCTTTAATATTTGTTATATGTATAAATGCCTGAATAAATGAGGAATCGAAATTGTATTTTTATCTGACTATTGAGGTTAACATAACATTGTTGTATCGACAATGCAGTACTGTAATTACAATTGTGTCATCTTAGTTTCAGTTCGCTCGGGTATCCATGGAGGTTCCACTCAGGGAAGCCGTCGATACCTCAAGAATCCCCTGGCAAATGGATCGTTTCCTGTTAATTCATCAAGCAACCCTCCGCCAGCTCCAGCACTACCTCCAAACGGTAATCCTGGAGCTGGAGGAGACGGGGTCTCCCTTACCGGCACCGTGAGGTCCTCCACAACAACCTCGACCATCTCCCTGAGTGGCACTCCAGAGCTACAGGGGCATCCTGTCAGGTGAGTAGAGAGGTCTCTGTAATAACTGCTCATGCACACAGAGGGGGTCTTGTAGCACAGTGGTCTACATCTTTGGCTCACATTCCAGGGATGGGTTCAATCCCCAGGTAGAACACAGATGGTTGGGCATCACACACACAGATCACAGCTCAGTCAATTAAGGCAGTGTCTGGGATGCTCCCGGACGCAGGTTCGAATCCTCGTCGCGGCCCTTGTGGATTTGTTCATTTTATGGTTGGGCATGTTTTCTTTCACCTGATGCCTATGTTTGTCTAGGGAGTTAGTTGGGCTAGAGGGGACTTTGATAAGCCCAAATACAGGCTTCTGGTTCCTGATATTGGGGGAATTCTGATTATTAAAAAACTAATTCCCAGAAAGTTATGTATCAAGGGTTCCAGTAGTACAAAGCTTTGCATCTAGAGTATTCTACAGTACTAACCAGGATACAGCACAAGAGTACTCTGCAGTACTAACACAAGATACAGCACAAGAGTACTCTGCAGTACTAACCAGGATACAGCACAAGAGTACTCTGCAGTACTAACCCAAGATACAGTACAAGAGTACTCTGCAGTATTAACCAAGATACAGTACAAGAGTACTCTGCAGTACTAACCAGGATACAGTACAAGAGTACTCTGCAGTACTAACACAAGATACAGTACAAGAGTACTCTGCAGTACTAACACAAGATACAGCACAAGAGTACTCTGCAGTACTAACACAAGATACAGTACAAGAGTACTCTGCAGTACTAACACAAGATACAGTACAAGAGTACTCTGCAGTACTAACACAAGATACAGCACAAGAGTACTCTGCAGTACTAACACAAGATACAGCACAAGAGTACTCTGCAGTACTAACACAAGATACAGTACAAGAGTACTCTGCAGTACTAACACAAGATACAGTACAAGAGTACTCTGCAGTACTAACACAAGATACAGCACAAGAGTACTCTGCAGTACTAACACAAGATACAGTACAAGAGTACTCTGCAGTACTAACCCAAGATACAGTACAAGAGTACTCTGCAGTACTAACACAAGATACAGTACAAGAGTACTCTGCAGTACTAACACAAGATACAGTACAAGAGTACTCTGCAGTACTAACCAAGATACAGTACAAGAGTACTCTGCAGTACTAACACAAGATACAGTACAAGAGTACTCTGCAGTACTAACACAAGATACAGCACAAGAGTACTCTGCAGTACTAACCAGGATACAGCACAAGAGTACTCTGCAGTACTAACACAAGATACAGTACAAGAGTACTCTGCAGTACTAACACAAGATACAGCACAAGAGTACTCTGCAGTACTAACACAAGATACAGCACAAGAGTACTCTGCAGTACTAACACAAGATACAGTACAAGAGTACTCTGCAGTACTAACACAAGATACAGCACAAGAGTACTCTGCAGTACTAACACAAGATACAGCACAAGAGTACTCTGCAGTACTAACCAAGATACAGCACAAGAGTACTCTGCAGTACTAACCAAGATACAGCACAAGAGTACTCTGCAGTACTAACCAAGATACAGCACAAGAGTACTCTGCAGTACTAACACAAGATACAGCACAAGAGTACTCTGCAGTACTAACACAAGATACAGCACAAGAGTACTCTGCAGTACTAACCAAGATACAGCACAAGAGTACTTTGCAGTACTAACCAAGATACAGCACAAGAGTACTCTGCAGTACTAACACAAGATACAGCACAAGAGTACTCTGCAGTACTAACACAAGATACAGCACAAGAGTACTCTGCAGTACTAACCAAGATACAGTACAAGAGTACTCTGCAGTACTAACCAAGATACAGTACAAGAGTACTCTGCAGTACTAACACAAGATACAGCACAAGAGTACTCTGCAGTACTAACACAAGATACAGTACAAGAGTACTCTGCAGTACTAACACAAGATACAGCACAAGAGTACTCTGCAGTACTAACACAAGATACAGTACAAGAGTACTCTGCAGTACTAACCCAAGATACAGTACAAGAGTACTCTGCAGTACTAACACAAGATACAGCACAAGAGTACTCTGCAGTACTAACACAAGATACAGTACAAGAGTACTCTGCAGTACTAACACAAGATACAGTACAATAGTACTCTGCAGTACTAACCAAGATACAGCACAAGAGTACTCTGCAGTACTAACACAAGATACAGCACAAGAGTACTCTGCAGTACTAACACAAGATACAGCACAAGAGTACTCTGCAGTACTAACCAGGATACAGCACAAGAGTACTTTGCAGTACTAACACAAGATACAGCACAAGAGTACTCTGCAGTACTAACACAAGATACAGTACAAGAGTACTCTGCAGTACTAACCAGGATACAGCACAAGAGTACTCTGCAGTACTAACACAAGATACAGCACAAGAGTACTCTGCAGTACTAACCAAGATACAGCACAAGAGTACTCTGCAGTACTAACCAAGATACAGTACAAGAGTACTCTGCAGTACTAACACAAGATACAGTACAAGAGTACTCTGCAGTACTAACCAGGATACAGTACAAGAGTACTCTGCAGTACTAACCAGGATACAGCACAAGAGTACTCTGCAGTACTAACACAAGATACAGTACAAGAGTACTCTGCAGTACTAACACAAGATACAGTACAAGAGTACTCTGCAGTACTAACCAGGATACAGCACAAGAGTACTCTGCAGTACTAACCAGGATACAGCACAAGAGTACTCTGCAGTACTAACCAGGATACAGCACAAGAGTACTCTGCAGTACTAACCAGGATACAGCACAAGAGTACTCTGCAGTACTAACACAAGATACAGTACAAGAGTACTCTGCAGTACTAACACAAGATACAGTACAAGAGTACTCTGCAGTACTAACTAGGATACAGTACAAGAGTACTCTGCAGTACTAACCAGGATACAGCACAAGAGTACTCTGCAGTACTAACACAGGATACAGCACAAGAGTACTCTGCAGTACTAACCAGGATACAGCACAAGAGTACTCTGCAGTACTAACACAAGATACAGTACAAGAGTACTCTGCAGTACTAACACAAGATACAGTACAAGAGTACTCTGCAGTACTAACCAAGATACAGCACAAGAGTACTCTGCAGTACTAACACAAGATACAGTACAAGAGTACTCTGCAGTACTAACCAAGATACAGCACAAGAGTACTCTGCAGTACTAACCAAGATACAGCACAAGAGTACTCTGCAGTACTAACCAAGATACAGTACAAGAGTACTCTGCAGTACTAACCAGGATACAGCACAAGAGTACTCTGCAGTACTAACCAGGATACAGTACAAGAGTACTCTGCAGTACTAACCAAGATACAGTACAAGAGTACTCTGCAGTACTAACACAAGATACAGCACAAGAGTACTCTGCAGTACTAACCAAGATACAGTACAAGAGTACTCTGCAGTACTAACACAAGATACAGTACAAGAGTACTCTGCAGTACTAACCAGCATGATAAAAGGAGCCAGATTAATCTACTGTATAATAATAATAATAATAAAATAAGTAAGAATGATGAGGAGTAGAACATGGGCACTGGGTACTCCCCACGCACATGCCCAGAACCCTGCCCGAGGTAACGCCATTCTAGATCTTGAACTAATCAACAGGGGGCACTGTCGGCCAAATCCAAGTAGGAGAAAAACTCCTCTTAAGGTTATCTTGAGTTGATTTCGGGGCTTTTAGTGTCCCCGCGGCCCGGTCCTCGACCAGGCCTCCACCCTCAGGAAGCAGCCCGTGACAGCTGACTAACACCCAGGTACCTATTAACTGCTAGGTAACAGGGGCATAGAGTGAAAGAAACTGACCATCGCTTCTCGCTGGCGCCCGGGATCGAACCCGGGACCATAGGATCACGTGTCCAGTGTGCTGTCCACTTGGCCGGCCGGCCGAGCGGACTGTACTGCATATTATTTCATATATACCTTTTATCTTGAGATGGAATACAATTCTTGAAGCCCATATAATGGTCCAGGATGATTACTTCTTTGACGACCTTTAAGGAGACATATCAGAGACTGTGGGAGTTAATCGGGGACTCAAGACATGGAAATATCATGGGATAATTTCACAATGCTGAGGGGGACATTAAACTACCACTCATAGGATGAGTATGGGATACACAACAGGCTGTACACTCAGGATGAGTATGGGGTGCACAACAAACTGTACACTCACAGGATGAGTATGGGATGCACAATAAACTATACACTCACAGGATGAGTATGGGATGCACAATAACTATACACTCACAGGATGAGTATGTGATGCACAATAAACTATACACTCACTGGATGAGTATGTGATGCACAATAAACTATACACTCACAGGATGAGTATGTGATGCACAATAAACTATACATTCACAGGATGAGTATGTGATGCACAATAAACTATATGCTCACAGGATGAGTATGTGATGCACAATAAACTATACACTCACAGGATGAGTATGTGATGCACAATAAACTATACACTCACAGGATGAGTATGGGATGCACAATAAACTATACACTCACAGGATGAGTATGTGATGCACAATAAACTATATGCTCACAGGATGAGTATGTGATGCACAATAAACTATACACTCACAGGATGAGTATGTGATGCACAATAAACTATACACTCACAGGATGAGTATGTGATGCACAATAAACTATACACTCACAGGATGAGTATGTGATGCACAATAAACTATACACTCACAGGATGAGTATGTGATGCACAATAAACTATGCTCACAGGATGAGTATGGGATGCACAATAACTATACACTCACAGGATGAGTATGTGATGCACAATAAACTATACACTCACAGGATGAGTATGTGATGCACAATAAACTATACACTCACAGGATGAGTATGTGATGCACAATAAACTATACACTCACAGGATGAGTATGTGATGCACAATAAACTATATGCTCACAGGATGAGTATGTGATGCACAATAAACTATATGCTCACAGGATGAGTATGGGATGCACAATAACTATACACTCACAGGATGAGTATGTGATGCACAATAAACTATACACTCACAGGATGAGTATGTGATGCACAATAAACTATACACTCACAGGATGAGTATGTGATGCACAATAAACTATACACTCACAGGATGAGTATGTGATGCACAATAAACTATACACTCACAGGATGAGTATGTGATGCACAATAAACTATACACTCACAGGATGAGTATGTGATGCACAATAAACTATACACTCACTGGATGAGTATGTGATGCACAATAAACTATACACTCACAGGATGAGTATGTTATGCACAATAAACTATACACTCACAGGATGAGTATGTGATGTACAATAAACTATACACTCACAGGATGAGTATGTGATACACAATAAACTATACACTCACTGGATGAGTATGTGATGCACAATAAACTATACACTCACAGGATGAGTATGTGATGCACAATAAACTATACACTCACAGGATGAGTATGTGATGCACAATAAACTATACACTCACAGGATGAGTATGTGATGCACAATAAACTATACACTCACAGGATGAGTATGTGATGCACAATAAACTATACACTCACAGGATGAGTATGTGATGCACAATAAACTATACACTCACAGGATGAGTATGTGATGCACAATAAACTATACACTCACAGGATGAGTATGTGATGTACAATAAACTATACACTCACAGGATGAGTATGGGATGCACAATAAACTATACACTCACAGGATGAGTATGTGATGCACAATAAACTATACACTCACAGGATGAGTATGTGATGCACAATAAACTATACACTCACAGGATGAGTATGTGATGCACAATAAACTATACACTCACAGGATGAGTATGTGATGCACAATAAACTATACACTCACAGGATGAGTATGTGATGCACAATAAACTATACACTCACAGGATGAGTATGGGATGCACAATAAACTAGCCACTTCGGGCAGCAAAAAATCAAATCAAGGATAATGCTGACGATACATATTTGTTTACAAGATGATTAAAACAAGTATTTCATATTATATACATTTTTTCAGGTCATTGGGAGGAAGCAACATGCCAAGAAGTGCCCTGAGTCACAGTGCACGAGCAGGTAGTGGGCGCAGTACAGGTGCCAGATCTAAGAGGTAAGACATACTAGGCACCCATCATGTAAATTATATACATGGAAACTCTTGCACGTCTTTATAACTAAAATGATTTTGTATGTGTATATTTACAGTATCTGTTAACAGTATGTATTCTCATATATCCGATTTATCCCTATAACCAGGCTGTGAAGGGAGGAAATAATCTTATGTTAACTCATGATAGTTATATTTGTGTGAACCTTAGTACAGTTTTTCACGTTAATAATAATAATTGGGACATTAAGGATAATTATGCATATGATGACCAAACCCCACACCAGAAGCTGAAGAGACAACTACGTTTCGGTCTGTCCTGGACTATTATCAAGTCGTTACACACAGAGATCATACTAACGTGATGCATCAAATGAACAAATCCAAATCCTCATCACGGCCCTTGTGGATTTGTTTATCATAAAGTCGATTGTGATAGTGGTCCAGGATGGGCTGAAACGTCGTCGTCTCTTCATCTTCTGGTGTGTGGGGTTTGGTCTTCATATCTTCAGCCACGTTATTGTGATTCATCGTCTGCAATTATACAAATGTTTCGTTTAGTCCATCACCTGGAGGCTCAGCACGGGCTGTGGGCGGCATCCCACCAAAGAACAGAGTGAGCCCAGCTCCCACACCGCCCGCTCCGGCGAACACTCCGTATCCTGATACCGAGTCTTTGCCAGGATCTCCTCAGTCTGGGTCTTCTGCTCCCATGTCCACTAAGGTTGCGTGGCCTCATGGCTCAATTCCTAAAAGAGTGAAAAAGTTGTCTTGGGAAGATGAATTAAGTAATAAGGTGAGAAAATTTGTTTTGCTTGGTATAACTGTTTAATAAGATATTGCACTGTTTATACTGTACTATTACGATTTATTTTCATGTAGAAAATATTTTGCCAAAATCTCTAGTAACCTCAATGGGGACAGGCAGCTGATTGCTTGTCCCAATATTCCCGAGTATTCTTTTCAGCTGAATTTTAACTGGGGTAATGACTTCACATTTATGACTTCAGTGGGTAGGTTGTTCCAGGGAATTATAACCCTGTGGGTGAAAAGGCAGCACCTATTTCCTATCCTACATTGTGGCTAGTTGAGCATGAAGCTCTTGCCGCCTTGTATGTGTTTATACAGACGTTTTCCCGTTTAATTTCCAACAATTTCCTAATCCGAGTGCCATAGTCTCGAGAGCAGCTCATGATGCTTGTCAGCAATTATACTAAAAGTAATATATTTTTGTGCAAAATATATAAAGCGGTTTATCATACAAGCTGCTTTATATGTGGTTAGCGCGCTGCCGTGAAATTTAAGGGATGCTTCAGCAAGTTTGTACAGTGATTTTATGAGAGTACAATGAGTACAATGAGAATATATTATTCATAAAATTTAACAAGCAAAATGTAGTTTTAAATCTTAAATTTTTATTTAAATTTAATTAAATTACCTTAATTAAAATTTAATTAATTTTCATTAAATGTTAATTTTCATTAATTAATTAATTTTAATTTTTAAATCTTTAAATTTTCCAGACGGAGTTGGACCCTGAAGTTAGCGTGACACCGATGCCTCAATCATCAGTGTCAGATGCACCGAACCTCACTGTCTATTTCTGACCTTCCGGTGGCTAATGTTCCCTTCCGTTGTTCCATTGTGGTGGTGGCGGCCTAGTCAGTTCACCCCCAAGAGTCAATTCTGCCTTGTTGCTCCCTTAGTCACTACCAGTTGTGATGACACATACGTCCTCTTACAGTCAGGATTGTGATGACACATACGTCCTCTTACAGTCAGGATTGTGATGACACATACATCCTCTTACATTCAGGATTGTGATGACACATACATCCTCTTACATTCGGGATGTGATGACACATACGTCCTCTTACATTCGGGATGTGATGACACATACGTCCTCTTACATTCGGGATGTGATGACACATACGTCCTCTTACATTCGGGATTGTGATGACATATACGTCCTCTTACATTCGGGATGTGATGACATATACGTCCTCTAACATTCGGGATGTGATGACACATACGTCCTCTTACAATCGGGATGTGATGACACATACGTCCTCTTACATTCAGGATTGTGATGACACATACGTCCTCTTACATTCGGGATGTGATGACACATACGTCCTCTTACATTCGGGATGTGATGACACATACGTCCTCTTACATTCGGGATGTGATGACACATACGTCCTCTTACATTCGGGATGTGATGACACATACGTCCTCTTACATTCGGGATGTGATGACACATACGTCCTCTTACATTCGTCCTCTTACATTCGGGATGTGATGACACATACGTCCTCTTACATTCAGGATGTGATGACACATACGTCCTCTTACATTCGGGATGTGATGACACATCCTCACACACACTAAGGGTTGTAGTGAAACATGTATCTCAACACACCAAGGAATCAAAATCCTGTCAAACTGTGTCAAAACAAATGTTACTAAAAGTACCAGTAAATAGTAAATGAAAAAAATTACTGTTTTTGTAACATTTGGCTTCACAAAAGCCTAGGTTGTAAATCTGTAAAGTAATATACGTGTTAAATAAGGTGATTTCACATTTTGTATAAAATCATTCATTATTTAGCTAAATGAAAATTGGAAAGGACTTGAAACAGGACTTTAAATACTTGCACCGTGTCCATTGGGTTTGACCTGTGTGTGTTGACCAGGGTGCTAGTACAGAATGCTCAGTGATAACGCAGTATGGCGTCAAAAACTAAAAAATTTGGCCCGCTTTCGGCTCGGCTGTGGCGCGGTTTTGGACATTATATGTATATACTCTTGTAGTGAATTTTATTGCGAACACATTGATACCAAAATGAAAGACCTAGGACAAGAATTGAGGTGACTAAAGTGAAAAGAGTACACACATTATACTCATACATGGCCACACCTTGAGGTGGTCTGGCGCTCGCTCGCCCAAAGCGCGAAAGTGTTAAACATCTGTTATGTTTATTTTATCATTTTATATCATGCATGGATTTGAATCCATTACCTTATAGTCAGCCCACATCTTCACTAGTATCAGATATTATACTGGCAAGATGGGGTAGTAATTCTTAAAGTTTAAGGCAAGACTAGATCTCAGAAATGTGTGAGCACCACAGATGGTTGTGGATCTAATAGTTCCTTTACATTTCGGGTCGCTGGTAATCTCTGAAACTGTACCAGCGTGTTCATTAACTACCGTTTGGCTAGCCAAAATATTTTGTATCACTAGCTACAAGTTATTCCATGTATTTTACAGCTTATCTGGGTGTATTCTTGTGGCTCCCTGAAGCTATAATAAAGCTATAAAGCTTCCTGAAGCTATAATGCTGATGTAGTGCCAAACTACTGTACTAGGTTCCATCGGTCATGGAGTTCTTTTAGGCCTAATGGGAATGTGAGCCAGAACCTGGTCCCCTCTAAAGATGTGCAGAGAGCAGTGGCACTATGATGAAATTGTCTGATTTTTTTTCTTTTTCTGGATTGGCATTCAGTGCCAAATACTATGTCCTCATTTCATGCAGCACTGGTGGAACCACTCCAGCTTGTGTTCGGGGTTGTTGCTTCCTCAGCCTCATTTTGTATGCTCTCTCAAGTGCTGATTTACCTTTGGCAGGCTCATGAGCTGGCTTCGTCTTTGAACCATGTTCTTTTCTTCTGCTCGTTTTGTTGTCCCCTTTAGTCAGGGATTGTTTTTTCCGGCATTGTTTCAGATTTTTCTTGTCTCAGGTTGTCACGTTGGTGAGCTTCATGCTCTCCTTTGGTGCTGGGGTTTTGTTCCTTCAGCCAGGTGGCCGGTTTGTTCTTTTCTGATGAAGAATGAGCCAGTTGTCCAAAAATGTTGTCTGTTGAAATGAGCTAGTTGGCTTCTGGAGGGGCCGTTGGTTGTTGCTGCTTGGTTGTTTTGGTCAAGGGTGCGTCCTGTTCTGTGTCCAGTAGTGGTTCTTTGCCGCAACTTTCATGACACTGCCTCTATGCTGGTGGACTCCTTGTGGGTTTCTTCAGTTTCCCTAGTTCCCTGTTCCAGGTCAGGAGTTTCTCAGGTCGTCCGCAGTAGCGTCATGTCTTGCTAGCCTATGATCTGCCTTCATGTACATGATGTTTGTCAGTATGCCTGCTCTGTTGGATGTGCTGGCTACACACCTTGTATGTAGGTATGGTCTTCTACACCTACAACAATTGATCTCGTGGGGCAATTTTGGGTGCGCGGATTTTTGGTGGACATACATGGTCCTGGCAGCCAGGTTGTTCCTGTTCCTCGTCAGCCTTGTGTGGTCTTTGATTATGTGTTGTGGCCAGTGCTCCCTCCTACCTGGAACATCCTTATTCTTCACCTTTTTCATGGGTAGGTAGCTTCAGGGAGCCACAAGATGCTTCCCCACCGAAAAATAAGATTGATTGTAATGAAACACCAATTTATAGGAGAGTCCTGGTGGCTCCCTTCCCCTCAGAGTCGGTGTGGTTTCCTCTTCATAAAATTAAGGGTGGAGCAGCTGGCTGACTCGATCTGCATCCCTCCCCCCAAACGAGTGGGAGAAATGGGGACAAACATTGAGCTAATTTCATGAATCGTCGATCATTTGTTTACATTGTTGGGGGAAGTGCTTTTACTGATTTTGAGCTGGTGGTCTTCCTTCTAACAAGCAGCAATTTGTTAGAAGGAAGTGCTAACTTTTTGGGTGTTTTCCGTGTTGATGGCAGACATGATTAAAATTTACAGACAATTTTGTCATGGTGACACTGCTCTCTGCGAGGATGCTCGGTTCTGGCTTATGGTCCCCAATCTTGAGGTTATCTTGAGATGATTTCGGGTTTTTTTATCGTGTCCCCGCGGCCCGGTCCTCGACCAGGCCTCCACCCCCAGGAAGCAGCCCGTGACAGCTGATTAACTCCCAGGTACCTATTTACTGCTAGGTAACAGGGGCATTCAGGGTGAAAGAAACTTTGCCCATTGTTTCTGCCTCGTGAGGGAATCGAACCCGCGCCACAGAATTACGAGTCCCCAATAGGCCTAAAAGAATTCCACGAATGATGGCACCTAGTAGTTTGGCACTATACACATTGTAGCCTCAGGCAGCCAGTGGAGTTCACCCAGAAATTGGCGTTTCATTACATTCAATGCCGATTTTTTTTTTTTAACTTTATAGAAAGTTGTGTTGAATTATACTACTAAAGTACTTTGGATAAAGAACAAACAATTGATGACTGTTCATGTGTAGAATTGGAGTATTATGAGGTGTGTTAATATTGTACAGTATAGTGGAAAGTCAGTATCATTTAGTGGTTGTGTGTAGGTAATACAAGGATAAGTGTTTTTCTATTCCATCATAAGTACAATATTGTAGTTGAAATAATTGACTCATAGTATTCAGTGCTTAGTGACTGAACATTATTTTGGCTACAGTATAGTGTATTCTGTGTTTATTACAGTGTCGTGTTTATTATTACTTGTGTTCATTACAGTACAGTGTACTCTGCTATATTTGTAACATAGTATACTGTAATGTAATTACAATACAGTGTTTACTACAGTACAGTGTACTGTAGATTAATTTCTGAAGAATATTGTGTATGTTTACATTCTGGTGCCCTTCACATAATCTTCAGAAAGTGAACAATTTAAAATTCCTGTTTGTACCCGCACTCTGCTACATAACACATTAAAATAATCTCGGTACAATATTTACATCTTGAGTTACAGTAATTTCAATGTACAGTGAATGTCTGGCAAGTCTAATTATATATAATTATCCTTCATGAAAATCTGAGTTAACAGTAATCTATTAAGCTGATGATGAAAGTAGTTCACGAAGACTGGAACCAGATTATTTTTTTTTTTTTTTGCTCGGAGGCGTAACACAAGTCAGTTTTGAGTTTATTTGACAAAAAGTCACACCTGTATAAAATTCAGGTATCGGCATAAGGTAAATGGGAAAAAAAGTAGCAATATAATATGAACTTAATATATATTGCAATTCACACTCAGTCATAACAAGTTCACAAAATCTGGAGCCAATAAGGCCCATTTCACAAATATAATAATTTTATTTGTAAATTCTTTTACCAGTAATTGAATATTACATTATAAAATATATGATTTTTAACAGTTACTAATCACGTTGCAGCATTTTAGGCAAACCTTATAATTAATGAGTAAATTAGTTTTTTTGTTTACCTGTAAATGCATATATAGAGGGAAATGTTTCCATTAAAAGTGGAAATACATTTGGCCACCATATTTGTGGCTCTATCATGTGTGGCTTAGATCTAGCACTATGTAATTGGTCCATTATACAGTATGAATAGAAAGTACTGTATGGGTCTCAAACTGCAGACCCCACGTGTGTGAGGCCAGAGCACTATCAACTCTGCTATGAGCAATCTTGAAAGGAAAGTTTCCAGAAGCGGCATCCTGCTGCCAAATCGGAATTTTCAATTTTCCCCGACTACCACTGAAGCCCAGAGGAATTACTGACCCACATCCATGTCATATAAATTGCCATCAACACTTCCATGGAAATAAACATTCCATTCACCTGGACTGTATGGAATGTGACATGGATGTGGGTCAGTAATTCCTCTTGGCTTCAGTAGTAGTCGGGGTAAGTTGAAAATTCCGATTTGACAGCAGGATGCTGCTGCTGGAAACTTTCCTCTTAAGACTGCTCATAAGACTGCTTGAAGGGAGCCGGTCGACCGAGCGGACAGCACACTGGACTTGTGATCCTGTGGTCCTGGGTTCGATCCCAGGCGCCGGCGAGAAACAATGGGCAGAGTTTCTTTCACCCTATGCCCCTGTTACCTAGCAGTAAAATAGGTACCTGGGTGTTAGTCACCTGTCACGGGCTGCTTCCTGGGGGTGGAGGCCTGGTCGAGGACCGGGCCGCGGGGACACTAAAGCCCCGAAATCATCTCAAGATAACCTCAAGATAAGCCCAGTTGATGGTGCTACGGCCTCACACATGTGGGGTCGGCGGGTCTAGACTCATACAGTCGAGGTGAATGAAATGAATATTTCCGTGGAAGTGTGGATGGCATTTTTATATACAAAAAAAATTCTAAACATTATGTGTAATATTGGCTCTAAAGATGGATTTAATATGGTTCTAATTGCATAATAACAGCATAAGTACAGTAGACCAGACCACACACTAGAAGGTGAAGGGACGACGATGTTTCGGTCCATCCTGGACCATTCTCAAGTCGATTGTCTTGATCGACTGTCACAATCTACTTGAGAATGGTCCAGGACGGACCGA